AAGTAAATTAAACTCACACTAATACACTATTAAATTTAATAGTGTTAATTTTTTTTAAATCAACAATAAACTGTCAAATTAAATAATAATTATTTTGTCATATTGAATAGTTTGCATTCACCCAGGTAAAAATATGCCAAATAGACATCATATTAAATATGTAAATGTGAAATATTATATTATATTATTGAACACCCAAGAAAACCTTTTTTATGTGATCAGCATATCATTGGTTGGTAATTCTCAGACCCTTTGTCAGTTGCTCATTTAACAAATTATTTAATAAATCACTTTTTTGTCATATTTAATCTTTTTTTGAATTGTTGGTTCCCCCAGGTAAATGTTTAAAATATACTTATGCATCACCTTATTAAATATGCAAATTTGAATATATTACATAAAACCAATTAAAACGTTTATTTTTTAATGCATGTTTGTGTGTATTTTTTTTATTTATTTTTTTATATGACCAGCCTATCAGTGCTTGGTAAATCTGACCCTTTTGTCAGTTGCTCATTCAATAAGTAATTTAATAAAACAAATTTATGTGCTTTTTAAGTCCCCCTTAAAAAGCAAAATGCCAAGGAAGGTAAGTTTTTCCAAATAACATAAAATAAAAACAAACCCTCAGCAATATCAACTAAGAAGCAATATCTCACATTAGAAGTGTTACTTATTGTGAAACATGAATTATTACTTTAACACTATGAACCAAAAGCTGGCACAAATATACCAGGAAACATTCATTTGAGTTATTTTATGCCAAGACATTTTGCAAGGTCGAAACCCCCCTTAAAGGAATGGTTCACCCAAAAAAGGATATTTACTCCCCCTCATGTAACATAATAAATAGAAATAGTGACTAAGTGAAAGAGGACTGGACCTTTCAAGCTCCAAAATGACAGGTTAAAAGCCTCATAGCCAGTCTGTACAATATGTTATATTATGTTATATGTTATATTCGAAGTCTTCTAAAGCTAGTGTGAATGAGAGATTTATGTAAGAAAGACATTTTAGCCACTATTCACTTCAAATCCAGTGGCTTTGTTTTCTCTCTTCTGCAGGGTGGTTTTGGGATCATGGAAGAAATGTGTGTCAATTACGTGCATTATTACCCCCGCACACAGCTGGAGCTGTGCAAGAGCCACGTGGACACAGATTACCTGCAGAAATACTTCAGTCTCATCAACAGGTGCAAAAATAAAACTCAACTAAACCACCACAAACAGCAAACATGACCTTCCTGTACGAGCGTCTAACTCATCCCAGACAGTCATTACCTCACAATGAGAAGAAAACCTTGAAATGGCAACACCGCCGTCACTGTATCATACCGCTCTGACCCAGTCAGCCTCCAACAGCAAAAACCAGCAACTAATATCTGGCTTTCAGACTAACTGCCTGAGGACAAGAGGAATGCTTTCATTTCCTCTATGAAATCAGACGGAGAAACAGAAATAGGTTTTCCACAGCAATGAATAAAACAAGGAAAGGCAGATGACATTTGTATTCATCCATTTTGTATCGTCAAATTGCATTTTTACAGCTTAAAAAAACTATTTTGCAATGCTATAGTGGAATCAGACGAATTATGAAAGTGGTTTTGTGGCCGTGGAACCAAATTACCACCTTATGAGGTGGATATTTAAAAAAATATATTTATTTTCCTCTCTGTAGGTTTCAAGGACGCGAGAGTTGCAGTTGTCCTGGGACTACGGTGGAAGAGCAGTTCTCCTCGCTGTCCTGGGACGGCTTCAGCGGGGAGGTGCTGAACTCCCTCTACCTCACCTCCCCAATCTCAATGCACTGCAACCAATCCACCGCTGAGCTCTTTCCTGTAAGCTCAACATTAAACCACCTTTTCACCATCTCTGACCAATGACAGACCAGAAGTCTTTTATTTCCAGAGTAGTTCAGATGCATTGAATTATTGGATTTTTTGCAGCTAGACTCTAATCGCCCAAACAGATGTGATATATTCTAATAAACTTTGAGTGCATGGTGAGAATGACCAATATTTTTGCACTAAAACGTTATTCTTGGATGCAAAATTCACATTTACGTACGTGGTGTTTGCATATAAATGTGTCTTAGCAGTGTGTGGACATAACCACCCTACAATTAGTTTTTTTTTTTACGGTAACGCACAGTGTTGCCAGATTGGAAATGACCACAATAGATAAATAACTTAGTGGGAAGGTCCAAACACTGTCGCTGTCATCGGAAGCCTGAGGTGTGTGCGATCAATGAGTAATGATTACAACGGCCATCATTTGAAATGTCACAAAATTCTGAAATCATCATACTTTTTTTTTTATTATTGATCATACATAGGTCAAAATTATCGTACAAATACGATAATTATCATACGGTCTGGCAACACTGGTAATGCACCACAGAATACACAAAAAATGGAAGAGAGGGGCGGGGTGAGCAGTAGCTCATTAGCATTTAAAGAGACATGCAATGGCTCGCTGTGAAAAGAGCTGTTTTTGACAAGATATAAAGGCTGTTGTTTTACATAACCATTGAGGAATTTTAACCAAAGTATGTTGCAGACATTTCATGAAGACCCTAAAGAATCATATCAAGTTAATGCCGATAGCCTAGTGGTTAGTGCGCCGACACATCTGTGCTCACGGTGACCCGAGTTCGATTCCCGTCTCTAGGTCCTTTGCCGATCCCGCCCCCCTCTCTCCACCCAATACTTTCCTGTCTGCTCTCAAGTTAATGAGACTAACAACAGGTGCACTAGATGGGCAACAATGAGACGACCCCCAAAACAGGAATGGTTTTACAGGTGGAGGCCACTGACATTTTTTTCCCTACTCATCTTTTCTGACTGTTTTTCACTAGTTTTGCATTTGGCTAGGGTCAGTGTCACTACTGGTAGCATGAGGCGATACCTGGACCCTACAGAGGTTGCACAGACAGTCCAACTCCTCCAGGATGGCACATCAATACGTGCCATTTACATAATTTACATCATATTTTTATCATCTTGAACTGATCAGTGGAGGATAGTTAATATTTGCTAATAATTTGCTTAAAGACATTCTTTTAGATGTCATCAAGGCATCAGATTACAGATTACAAAGTTTAGAGTTAACAGAACTTTTAGTGCATGTAAACAAACCTATGACAAAACACCATCATGTCAGGTTGAACAGTGTTAAAATAAGGCTGTTTCTTTGTATTTATGCTTGATGGTAAGTTCTCTTTTGTTTTAGGGTGAATGGGAGAAGCAGGAGATACCGGTGGTGACGGCGGAGCTCCAGAGAGCCCCGTACCCATGTGAATTAAGCCGTCGAGCGTCCTCTCTGAATGACAACCCTACAGAGGTCAGGCCCGACAGCAGCGTCTGATGCATCTGACTCCTGCTGAGCTCAACCTTTACCATGCAGCAGCCTGGAGGATGTGTGCTTCAAAGTGATCACATAAAATAAATGACCCAAGCACTGTTTTGTGTTTAGATTATCGTTCCATTACTTTTGTGTGGGAAGGTGCAGTATATAATGTCAGCAGTGGAAACTGAAATAGCATTTTTATGGATAAAGTTGCACTAACATGATTGTGCAGTACACAATGAATACCATCTACTTTTTAAAAATAGTAAGCAATTATGCAATGATAAACATTTGAAATAGTAGCATGCTAAATTGTCATAGGACCTCATTTAATTCTTGCTTCCACGAGTGTCATCCAGTTACATCTTAGAAATAAAAATTACAAATTGTTTTGTTTGTGGCATTATTTACTGTTCTTCCTCCACACTGGAAATTTGAGTGCAATGCATTGTGGGCTATTTTCCCAAAGCACTATGATGTACACTTGAGCTACTAAATTTGACAAAAATATGTAGTGTGCATCCGATTTCAAAGTTTGGCATCGGTAAGATTTTTAAAATGTTTTTAAACATTGACATTATTATTAATAATCATTATTAAAGTCTCTTCTGCTCACCAAGGCTGCATCTATTTAATCAAAAATGCTGTAAATTGGTAAAATTGTGAAATATTATTACAATTTAAAATAACAGTTTTCTATTGTAGTATATTTTAAAATGTTATTTATTCCTGTGATGCAAAACTGAATTTCAGCATTATTACTCCAGTGTCACATGAGTCTTCAGAAATCATTCTAATATGCTGATTTGCTGCTCAAGAAACATTTATTATCAATGTTGAAAAAAGTTGTGCTGCTTCATATTTTTGTGTAAACCGTGATACCTTTTTTTTTTTTTTTGATAAATAGAAAGTTAAAAAAGGACAGCATTTATCTGTAATAAAAAAATATTTTATACTATTATAAATGGCTTTACTGTAATTTTGGTCAATTTAATATATTCTTGCTAATTAAAAAAATTTATTTCTATCAAAAAATTTTTAAATCTTACTTAACCCAAACATTTGAATTCCAGTTTGTTAATATGCTGTATTGCAGAGTTCACGATATGACAAAACTGGCTTTTAGTCTTCATACATTTTGCAACAACAAATAAAGTTAAACAGCAGACAGCTTAAAGGCCAGCCTTTAGAAAGAATTACTATTACTAGCAATGAGGAAATTTAATTTATTGGTTAATTTTTTTTACTAGTTAAAATCCAGTAAAATGTTAATTTAACAGTTACAGTACATGTGGATGAATTGATGGTCCAACATGCAGAAATCACGGAAAATACAGCACAAAACACTTTCACATCATGTGTTGAATAAAAAAAAAACACTACAGGCATCTTATTTAATTCCACAGATTTATATTTGACAAAAAGTTACAGAAATTAAACCATTATATTATTTTTATAAATGTTATTTTACATTTAACCAAGACTGACATCTTCAATGCACAGCTATTCCACAAAAACTCTCACTAATATTCAAACAAGTACAAAAAAAGTAAGAGATGGGCTCATGATTGCTCACTAAAATGTTATTTTCGGAAAAATATGAATGATTTCTTTCTGAAAAACATGAAATTTAAAGGCACAGGAAGATGGGTTAAATTCACATTTGTTCTTCTATGCTCCTTTATGGTGAATCATGCCTTTAAGACAGTGACTATAAATACAGAAGAGTATTTAGTTTTGTCTGGAATGCTGATGCTGATGTGTTAGATAAAGGCCTGTAAACATTTACCTCAGTTACACTCAATCAGTCTGGATCAGTTTCATTCTGGCTTTGTTCAGCCGTAGATGCCCTTAACGCGCTTGTTCTCGGGGTCAAAGGGAGATTTCAGGTGAGCCGTAGCCTTGTATGTGACGCCCATCCTCTCCAGAGTGAATTCCCCGCTGCGGACGAAATCTGGGCTCACCTGGGGGAGAATTAAACACAGAAAAATTCAAGCTAAGTTTAAGATGGATTTATGATTGAAATTAAAAGGCTTTTAATCTACGACTATTTATTTTGCCATTCATATCACAGATTATAATGAGCTCTGCTCTCACCTCCCTCTCTTTCTGTCTGTACCCCTGCCGAGAGTTGATTGACAGGAGATCTGGCCAATTATAACACTGAATTTTACATTTTGTCAGACAAACAAACCAGACAGGAGAGTAGATTAAGGTCGGTGGACTTGAACTTGCAAAATGGTATGTACTGATGTCTTTCCACAGTTGAAACAAGATACCTTCTGATGTTCATTCATGTTTATTGCATACTATTACTAGTAAAGAGGAAGAGATGATCAGTTCACATGCCGCTACAGTGATCTGTCACGACAAATTAAAGAGCCACAAAATCTATAATTTCTTAAAAATTGAAAACATTTTGAATTAATTTGATTTATTTACATGTTGTCATATGAACAAATAGCCAGTAAATACACTAATGTAACAAATCTAAAGTCCGCACCATTGTAAGAATTTATATCAAAATGAACTTTCTTTTCAATCTTTTTGACTTACTGGACTTGTTTGAAAGAACAGGCTGAGATTCATTTGTTCTTGAATTGGACGTTATGACTGGGCAGTGTTCGTTGTTGACTGCAGTAAAACACTGGTACGTGGCTGAGACGAGATGATATCTGACAAAACCGCTTGTGGGCTACATTTTAAGTTATGCTCTTAATTTTTTTTTTTTTACTACATTTACAACCATTTTAGTCACAATTTGAAGCCCTGGTTAAGGTTTTGTGTGACGAATAAGCTGAAGTTTAAGATGTTATTTCACTAAAAATATTATCCTTGTGTAGCCTGAAAACTCCCTATTCACTGTTAATGCACGAAACGGAACGACCAGGACATTTTTTCAAAATGTATTCTGTGTTTCACAGTAGAAGGAATGTCACATGGGTTTGGAAACTTTTAAAATTTCAACTAGAAACTATGAAAAGTCTTATGCATGAAGTCTGGAGGTCTCTCGGCCGTGAATAACAGTTCTCTGACATTATGTCCAGTGATGTGTCTGTGGTGTGTAATGCAGTGAGCAGAGAGAGTAAAGGTCAGATCAGATCAGCGCTCGACCTTGTTCAACAGCACTGCCGTCCACGCCGTGGAGTGGAGACGTCTCAGTTCTACCTCCTCATCTAGCTCTCTGTCAGTTAACATTAAGTACACATCCCCCGGTATCATGTCATACTCACAGTACAGTGACTTCAGAGCCACCTCTGTGTGCAATAACACACACACACACACACACACACACACATACATACATACATACATACGGGTAGTTGACAAATAGGCAGTAAAAAATGCTTATTTTGTAAAAGACAAATTCTGTATGTTTAACATACAGTTTTAATTTAAAAAATATATATAATTTAGGGGTGTCACACCAAAGGACAACAAAACGTAACACTTTTGTAGTGGTTCCAAAAATGTTAAATATTTGAACAATTCTGAGAGAAAAATTGACCATGTGCACATGTCATGGGCTTCACAGGGGGCTTTAGTAACATAATCATGATGGGGGTACTTCAACTAATTACATTTTTTTTCTGGAATTGGCCGATTTAAAATCAGGATATGGTGTCACACCATAAGACATGGTTTTCAGAGACAAAATGTATCAAGTTCCTACGCTTTCAGAAATACATGTATGAAAAAAATGATTGCCATTTACTAAAATAGACACTTGCACAATTTTGCCGGAGGTATTTATTAACATTTTGATGCTTTTCTTTTTAATTTATAAAAGTTGTAATTTATTGAACCATGCTTGAGACAGTCACACCATAGAACAATTTTGAGATTTGGCTCAAAAATGTAAAAAATCGAATAACACTGCAGCTTTTATAACAACAGGTCCAAGTAGGAAAAAGAAATGTTTAACCATTTACCGCATTTTAAATAACGACAATATTAATTACATTAATTTTTATCTTGTGGGAAAATGCCATGTCACGTCAACAACCCA